AAAACTTCCTAATGGAGAAGAATTATGTCGCAGCTGGCTCTTGTATTCAGTATTAAAAGACTCAGTGTTTTGTTTCTGTTGCAAACTGTTCAGTATGAAAGCAATTGGCATATCATCACTAACTCATACAGGTTCAAGTGACTGGAAAAACATGACGGCAATTCTTTCTTCCCACGAGAAAAATCCTGAACATTTGCAGAACTATCAAAAGTGGAAAGAACTACATCAGCGATTACAGAGAGATAGTACAATAGATGCAGAAATTTTGCGCAAGATGAAGAATGAAGAAAAGTATTGGCAGCAAATACTAAAGCGTTTAATAGCATTAGTGAGAGTTTTGGGTGAACAGAATCTAGCTTTTCGCGGTACAAATGAAACATTGTACAGTGCCAATAACGGGAATTTTTTAAAATTTGTGCAATACTTAGCCATTTTTGATCCATTAATGAACGAACATCTACGAAAGATATCAAATAAAGAGCTTCATACACACTTTCTTGGCAAAGATATACAAAATGAACTTATTCAACTGTCAGGAAATGCTATTAAGAAAGAAATCATACAAACAGCAAATGCAATGAAATATTTTTCAATAGTTCTCGATGGTACTCCTGACTGTAGCCATGTTGAGCAAATGACAATAATTATTCGTTTTGTTAAAGTTGATTCATAGAAAAAGGAGTTTAGTATCAAAGAACATTTTTTAGGCTTTGTACCTTTAAAGAAAACAACTGGAGCCTATATGGCAGAAACGATAATACAACAACTAGAAGAAATGGAGTTACCTATTGATAAATTACGTGGCCAAGGCTACGATAATGGCGCAAATATGATAGGCAAAAATAATGGTGTTCAAAAGAAAATATTAAACATTAATCCTCAAGCATTGTTTGTTCCTTGCAGCGCGCATACTCTTAATTTGGTTGTCAATGATGCTGCAAATTGTTGTCTAATAGCTACAAGTTTTTTTGATATTGTCCAACGTGTGTATGTATATTTTTCGTCTTCAACACATCGGTGGGTAGTTTTCACTAGTCATCAACCTACGTTAACTGTTAAACCTCTAAGTGAAACAAGATGGGAAAGCAGAATAGATGCTATAAAGCCTTTGCGATATGAACTTGGTAAAATATATGATGCACTGCTAGAAATAGCTGATGATACTTCTCTAACTGGATCCTCAGGAAGCACTGCACGCAGTGATGCTAAAGCACTTGCGAATAGTGTTGCAAAGTTTAAGTTCGTGGTTTCAATTGTTGTATGGTGCAACATACTTTTTGAAATCAATATAACAAGTAAGCAGCTCCAAGCTAAAGATTTGGATATTCATGCTGCTGTACAACAGTTACAACACACACAAGCCTATTTGGTTGACTGTAGGAGTGACATAGGTTTTGCAAGAATGCTAGTGGATGCTGCTGAAATTGCTAAGGATTTGGAGATACCACCAACCTTTGAGGCAGAACCACGATTACGGCGGAGAAAAAAGCAATTTGCATATGAAGCTGAAGATGAGCCTGTGCAAGATCCAAAACAAAATTTCAAAGTGAATTTTTTCTTTGCTATACTTGACACAGCAATAAGGTCGGTTGAAGAAAGGTTTGAACAAATGAGAACAATTGAATCTGTATTTGGTTTCTTATATCATATTCATGGTCTACAGAGTAAAACTTCACAAGAAATATTGGAATGTTGCATGAAACTAGAATCTGCTTTACAACATGGTGATAACAGAGATTTAGTTGCATCAGATTTGTGTGGCGAACTACAGTCTATTGCACGACGACTTTCTGAAGAAACAAAGTCTCCTCGGGATGTTTTTCGATTTATTCTTTGCCAAAACTTGGAAGACAGTCTACCCAACCTTAGTATTGCTCTTTGTATTTTGCTGACATTACCTGTTTCTGTCGCTAGTGGAGAGCGTAGTTTTTCCAAACTAAAATTGATAAAGACATACATTCGATCATCCATGTGCCAAGACAGATTGGTTGGGTTGGCAACTCTTTCCATTGAGCACGAACTTGCAGACAAGCTGGACCTGAAGGATCTTGTGATCGATTTTTCCCAGAAAAAGGCACGCAAAGTACAGTTTTGATATTTTTAAATAAATAAATACTTACCTGGTGTTTTCACTTTATTTTGCATTTTATTTTGATTTTTTTACGTAAAAGGGGTGCGACCTTTGAAGTTTTGCCTAGGGTGTCATAACCCCTTTGCACCGGCCCTGTGAGCCACAAAACAAGCTATGTTGTACATTAGAATAGCATGCCCAATTAACATTTGACCATCCATTTGATCGAGAATATTTCGGAAAGCTTGTTGATTTAATGTTTTGTGATGTATTGAATTTTGATTTCAGGCGACATCTTTATTATATTTTGCTCAATAGTCCTTATGTTGATAGTAGACGTAATGACATTTCCAATCTCAAAAAAATGTGCGTTCTCAGCACCTGAAATCATTATCTAGCGTTCTTCAACTATTTGAATGTCGTTTTGTTGATGATTACTGGTTGCAATAGAAGATGCAGACGATAATTCATTTTTTCCCCGTGAAATTTGTGAAAACCTGCTCATGTCAGGGGCGTTTACAGGAAATTTTTTGGGTAAGTCCAAAAAAAAAAAAAAAATTATTTCCCCCTCTTCCTCCCTATTTTTTTAAGGGAGAGGGAGGGGGACCGGGTTTTGACCGGATTGAGTGTATTTTATAAAAATGTTTTAGTTCTTTAAATGACTTGTAACATTGATAAAATGGAAAATAAAGCTCAAAATATGATTTTTGCAAACTAAAAAAAATATTTTTTGAAAATACTCAGTTGTCGTAATGTATAATATATACATGTTAAACTTTTTTACAAGATTTGTGAAAACAATTTACAAGAATAATTTAAGATTTTGCTGTGTAAATTTTTTTATATAACTTTATAAATAACTTTTAATTATAAATAAACTTTATAAATACTTAGAGTCAAAAAACTTATTGGAATAACTGTACAATGCTAAATGTTTTTACAAAAATGTCTGGCTATGAAAATAGCTGTTTAACAAAAAGCAGCTAAAACACTTGAAGTTATACTTTTATCGTATTTGAATTTTATTTAAAACACAACTCATAAATATTTATAACAAACTTGAAAAGGTTTGTTGCTTGTAATGTTTCAGTATTATTAGATTAAAGTTCATTTTTGAAATTCAGGCAGTTGAGTGAAATTCGACTAAACTTCCCACAGGTCAAATTTGAGTAATAAAGCCTTTGGTTTGGAAATAATAAATAAACCTAATAAAGCCTTTGGTTAAACAAGACACTAAAAAATATGATTTGGTTTTCTCAACTAGTATAAAAAAACATTGAATTTCTGCAATTGTTTTTAGAAGAAACTGAATATTAGAAAGAAGAAATTAAAGAACAGGTGCTTCATAACACTTCAAAATTGTATCAATCAACCATTGTGTTAATCTCAGTATTCTAGATAAAACTCAGATAGTCTAGCAAAGAAACAGCAATAACCAAGTTAAAATAATTTGAAATGCAATTTTTAGGCTTGTTTAAAGGTGTTGATTAATAATATTTCTAACTA